CTGTTCCATAAATGAATCAATTGTATTTTCGTTTTGTAACAAGTAAAATGATATTATGTTAGATATATAGTAATTATACAATAAAAATAAAACGCATTGATTTATTCAAAAATAAATGTTTAATGATAAGAATATAATGATTATATATATCGAATGATACAGAAATCGAAATATATTCTATATAGCAAATATAAAAAATATAAAAATATTGTTTCATAATAATTATCAACTTAACAATAGAAATTGGTATAATGTATTTCTAAAATTATATTTATTAATTTTTTATCTTCAAAGAAAAGTTACAATTAACAATGCCAAAATTGTTCGACCATTTAACATGGATAAAAATGTGTTTGTGGGATAGCGAGATACTACTGAAGGTGTTAAAACCCCGACTTACGAAATAACCATGTTAAATTACGTGAACTCGTTATTTCAAATGTTTTTTTAGAAATTAAAATTAAAAAAAATGGTATTACAATACAAATTGTTTATATTTTATTTTCTACACAACAATTTTATTTAATTATTTGGAATAAAAAAAACAATCAAAAATGGTTGAAAATATTATAAATTATGGTTGTCTTTAATATGTATGTTTGACTGAATAGTGTTATAAACCAAAGTTATAAATTAATAAATATATAAAGTTGGATTTTTGATTAACGATGGAGAAAATTAACTATATATTTAGTTTTTTAATTATAATATAATAGTTTTTTTTCTTTTTTTTAAACAATAATTTTTTGTTTTAGCTTTAAATTTTCTTACTTTTTAACCACATTCACGGTCTCCAGAAATGGGGGGAGGTCGAACACTTAGGTTTTCCAAAATTCGATAAAACTTGGTTTATTTCTTAATAATTATTAGTAAGAAATTGATTATAATTACTTTTTTTTCTCTATTTTTTCGGGGAAAACAAGAAAAAAAAGAGTATAAAGATTATGAAAAATTGTAAACAAATAAAAAAATGGCAAAAACAAGCAATTTGAGGCAAAACGATAATTTGGTAAATAATTAAAAAAATACATTTTCAATGGGAAAAACGAGAAAATGGACAAAACCTATAAAAAATTACCATTTTTTAGAGTGAAATTTAATACTATATTTTTAGTAAATATACTATACAATATTTTGTTTGATTTGGCCATGATTATACTAATATTTAGGGATTTGATCAATTACAAATGAGAAACAATCTATGATTCCAAAAGAGACATAATATGGTGATTAATATTTAGTTTTGTCACAACAACGCAATTGTAAATAAATGTGCTTTTTTAAAAATAATCTTTGGTAAATTAAACGCTTTTTAATAATTATTACATTTTTGAGATGTTGTTTTTGTTTTTTGTCCCAGAAAATCGGAAATGTTGATATTGTCTTGTGAAGTGTAAAGAAGAAAACCATCTATCAAACATTTTTGGAAAATAATTTATACAATTATTTTTGTGAAAAAATGTTTTACAAAAATAATGACATCATATGAGCGCATTTTATGTAACTTCATAATAAAGTAAAAAATAGTTATTATCATCATTAATCTTTTGTTTTGTTTTTCGGGTTCAATAGAATAAAACAAAAGGGTATTTTTTAATACAAAAATGGGAATAATCAAATACCAAGCAATGCCACACAATACATAAAAATGCAACTTGTTTGTTTCAATAATATTGAAATGTAATAATAAATGCCTTTTTGGATAAACAAACACGCATTTTTATTTACAATAATATGATTTGGATTTTAATATAATTTGATATATCATAGTCTAATACTTTTATTGTTTTATTATAGTTTAATAATATATAAACCCATAATCTTTAAAAATCAATCATAATTAAATTCAAAAGGACGAAAAAATAATAAAGAGTAATTGAATTGTGCTTATGGTGGGTTTGGTTTGAATTGTTTTCGAAATTATAATAATAATAATATGTTAATCAATAATAATAATTTCGATTTGTGTTAAATAAAATGAACTTATAACAATTTACACAAAAAAACAATAAAAGTTATAGTAAGCAATTCCATTTATTTTAATATTTTTAAACTATCTTTGTTTCAACTTTATTCACAATTTGAATTTGTTGTGTTTTTCCTCAAATTTTAAGTCGAATGATCTTATTATAATAAATGTTTGAATTCCATTTTTTCAACACTGCCCCGATTCTTTTCATCAATTTTGTTGTTTTTTATTTTTAGTTTTTAAACAAATAACATTTTCCCCCTCAATATTATGTTATCAGAGAATCAACATTTTGCTTTGCTCACTTTTTTACTAAACCAAAAAAAATGTGTTATGAAAAAGAAAATCATAAAAATTATTATTTTTCTTTTGTCTCTTGTTTTTATTTTTTTTGTTTTCTCGACGATTTTAAGAAAATAAACCCCAAACCTATGTGTTCAATCCCCCTAAAACTGGAGACCGTGCCACATTATTCATCCAAAAAAGAAAAGCAAGAAATGTGAAGTTTGTAATTCATCTCTGATTAATTCTCGAGTAATGTCAACACAACCAGCAGACCATTTAATATAGTTAATCACAGAAGTGTCATAGTTATAAGGCGATTAATAGGTCATACCAATTGATTTGAAAAGCAAAGAAAAAGATTGACAACCAGCGTTTCTTTGAGAATGTCAAATGGTAAAAAATAATAAGAAATTACTATTTAATATATGGTTTTTAATTAGCAATGGTCAATACTATATATTATAATATAAAAAACAGATATAGTAAATTTCCTTGTTGTATTTTTGAAATATCGTGAATTAGAAATCGGACTTTATATATAAATTCAAAAATTGTGTCGATATTTTAAAAAACAACAAAATTTTGAGCAAAATGTTTTAAAATTTAAAACAATAAAGCAATGAAAAGAGCGAGGAACGCATAGACTTCAAATGCACCTTCCGAAAACATGTAGTTTACTTCTTCATCAGTAGTTGTGCATTTTTCGAGTTCATAGGTCATGGGAACTGTGGTAGCATCAGCAGCTCCAGTGCAATCTTCTGAATTATAAGGTGTTAATGTGATCTTTTTGTCTTTTATTTCAGCCTTTACAGAATAAGAAGATGTCGATCCCGAAACTTTGGTGCATTGCTTATTTAACACTTCGAGGGGATGACCATCACTTTCACTAATTTTACAATTATTTGCATCAGAATATAAATATTGAACATAGTAATAATCTGGCAG